AAGGGACTTCCTTAGGAAGAAGAAGAAAAGGAGAGAGAGAGGATCACAGACATAAGAAAAAAATAAAAATGGCAATAAATAAATACCTATTAATAATAACCTTAAATGTAAATGGACTAAATGCTCCAGTCAAAAGATATAGGGTGACTGGATAAGAAAACATGACCCATATATATATGCTGGCTACAAGAGACCCACCTCAGAACAAAAGATACACACAGACTAAGAGTGAAGGAATGGAAAAATATATTCCATACAAATGGAAAGTAAAGAAAAGCTGGAGTAGTAATACTCATATCAGACAAAATAGACTTCAAAATGAAGGCCAAACAAGAGATAAAGAAGGCCACTTCATAATACTAAAGGGAATGTTTCAACAAGAAAGTATCTCTTGTAAACATATATGCATCCAATATAGGAGCACGCAAGTATATTAAAAAACTCTTAAAGGACATTAAGAGAGAGATTGACAGCAATACAGTCATAGTGTAGGACTTTAACACCCCACTGACATCACTGGATAGATCTTCCAGACAAAAAATTAACAAGGAAACAGAGGCCTTAAATAAACAAGGAAACACAGTAGATCAGATGGATCTAACCGATATTTACAGAACAGTTCACACCAAACCAACAGTGCCCATGGAACATTCTCAAAAATAGACCACATGTTAGGGTACAAAACAAGCCTACACAAATTCAAGAAGATTGATATAATACCAAGCATCTTCTCGGATCACAATGGCATGAAATTAGAAATTAACTACAAAAAAACAAAAACAAAAAAAAACCCCTCAAATACATGGAGACTAAATAGCATGTTATTAAGCAATGAAAGGGTTACCAATGAGATCAAGCAAGAAATTAAAAACTTCCTGGAAACAAATGAAAATGAACACACAACCACCCAAAACCTATGGGACACAGCAAATGCCATTCTGAGAGGGAAGTTCATAGCACTACAGGCCTAACTCAATAAATAAATTTTTAAAAAAGACTAATAAACTATCTAAACCTAAAATTAAATTAATTAGAAAGAGAACAGCAATAAAAGCCCAGAGGAAGTAAAAGGAAGGAAATAATAAAGATCAGAGAAGAAATAAATGACACAGAAACTAAAAAAAAAAAAAAAAAAGTACAAAAGATCAATAAATCCAAGAGCTGGTTCTTTGAAAAGATAAACAAAATTGATGAACCCCTAGCCAGACTCATCAAGAAACAAAGAGAAAGGACCCAAATAAATAAAACAAGAGATGAAAGAGCCAATATAATAACAGACATCACAGAAATACAAAGGATTGAAAACAAATACTATGAACAATTATATGCCAACAAACTAGATGAACCTGGGTGAAATGGACAAATTCCTAGAAATATTCAATCTTCCAAAACTCAATCAGGAAGAATCAGAAAACCTGAGTAGGCCAATAACAACTGATGAAATTGAAGCAGTAATTCAAAAACTTCCAGCAAATAAAAGTCCCGGACCCGATGGATTTACAGGTGAATTTTATCAAACATTCAAAGAAAAACTAACAACTATCCTCCTCACACTATTCCAAAATATTCCAGAGGAAGGTACACTTCCAAGTTTTTTTTATGAAGCCAGCATTATCCTAATTCTGAAACCAGATAAAGACACTACAAAGAAAGAGAATTACAGGCCAATATCCCTGATGAACATAGATGCTAAAATTCGCAACAAAATATTAGCATATCAGATCCAGCAATATATTAAAAAGACCATACACCATGATCAAGTGGAATTTATTCCAGGGATGCAAGGCTGGTACAATACTTGCAAATCAATAAATGTGATATATCACATAAACAAATTGAAAGATAAAAGCCACATGATCATATCAATAGATGCAGAAAAAGCAAAATACAGCATTCTTTTTTCATAAAAATTCTCAGCAAAGTGAGAATAGAGGGATCATATCTCAACATAATAAAGCCCATATATGACAAACCTTCAGCCAACATAACACTCAATGGCCAAAACTAAAAGGGTTTCCCTTAAAAACAGGAACAAGACAAGGATGTCTGCTTTCACCACCCTTATTTAACATAGTACTGGAAATCCTAGCTACAGCCAGCAGATGAGAAGAAGAGGTAAAAGGCATCCAAATTGGAAAGGAGGAAGCAAAACTCATTATTCACAGATGACATGATATTGTATAGAGAAAAGCCTAAAGACTCCACCAGGGAACTACTAGACTTAATAAATGAATTCAGCAAGGTATCAGGATACAAAATCAACATCCAGAAATCAATGGCATTTTTACGCAACAATAATGAACTCTCAGAAGAAAAAAATTAAAAAGCAATCCTATTTACCATTGCAACAACAACAAAAAAGATACCTAGGAATAAACTTAACCAAGGAAGTAAAAGACCTGTACTTGGAAAACTATAGGACATTGAAAAAAAAATGGAGGAAGATAGAAACAAATATAAGTGTATACAATGTTTATGAATTAGAAGAATTAATATCATCAAAATGTCTATACTATCCAACACAATCTATAGATTCAACACAATCCCTATTAAAATCCCAAAGGAGAAAATAAACAATTGGGACTACATCAAAATAAAAAGCTTCTGTATAGCAAAAGAAATAACCATCAAATTAAAAAGGGAATCCACTGAATGAATGGGAGAACATATTTTCCAATAATAGATTTGATAAGGTGTTAATATCCAAAATATGTAAAGTACTCATACAACTCAACAAAAAGAAGACAAACAATCTAATTACAAAATGGGCAGAAGACCTGAATAGACATTGCTCCATAATCATCAGAGAAATGCAAATTAAAACCACAATGAGATATCACTTCACACCTGTCAGAAAGGCTATCATTAAAAAATCAACAAACAAGTGCTGGTGAGGATGTGGAGAAAAGGGAACACTAGTTCACTGCTCGTGGGAATGCAGATTGGTGCAGCCACTATGGAAAATAGTATGGAGTTTCCTCAAAAATTTAAAAATGGAACTTTCATTTGACCCAGCGTTCCCACTTCTTGGAATATATCCTAAAAACACCAAAACTCCAATCAGAAAGAATATATACACCCCTATGTTCATAGCAGCATTATTTACAATAGCTAAGATTTGGAAACAGCCCAAGTGCCCATCAGTTGATGAATGGATAAAAAAAGCTGTGGGATATTTACACTATGGAATACTAGGCAGCTGTAAAAAAGAGGGATCTCTTACCTTTGGGACAGCATGGATGGACCTGGAAAATATTATGCTGAGTGAAATAAGCCAAGCTGAGAAAGACAAATATCACATGATCTCACTTATTTGTGGAATCTAATGAACAAAATGAATTGACCAATAAAGTAAGACCCGAAGCAGGGAGGCATGAAACAGACTGACAAACCTCGATGTGGGGTTGAGGGGATGAGAAGAGATAAACCAAAGAACTTATATACTTACTAGTGGCCCGGTGCATGAAATTCATGCACATTAAAAGGGAATTAATGGGCACAGCCTCAGGTCCCCTGGCCCTGCGCAGGGGGAGCAGCCTGAGGTCCCCTGGACCAGTACCAGGGCAGGGGGCACACCTTGAGGTCCCCCATCAAGCCCTGCCAGGCAGGGGGCACTGCCTGAGGTCCCCTGGCCCGGGGCGGGGGGAGCAGCCTGAGGTCACCCGGCCCAGCACCAGGGTGGGGGGCACAACTTGAGGTCTCCCGTCAAGCCCCGCTGGGTGGGGGGGTGCAGCCTCAGGGCCCCTGTCAAGCCCCACTGGGTGGGGAGCACAGCCTCAGGTCCCCTGTCACGCCCCGCCGGGTGGGGGGGGTGCAGCCTCAGGTCCCCCGGTGCATGCCGTGTGGGGGGGCGCAGCCTCAGGTGCCCTGCCCCAGCCCAGCACCATGCAGCCTCAGGTCCCTGCTGATTGCTCATTAAGGCTCGTTATGGGAACTTGGGCGCAGCCATCTTGTGCTATGAAATCCCTGCCTCCTCTGTGGGCACAGCCATCTTGGTGTAATGGTCAATTTGCATATTCCTGCTTTATTAGATAAAGTATGTATAGCCCATTGACATGGACAATAGGGTAGTGAAGAGTAAAGACCTGGGGAGTGGATAGGGGCTGGGAGGAGGGGGGAAAGGGGGAGAAAATGGGAAATTTTCTGTAATATGAATAATTTTTTAAAAATTTTTTTAAAAAGAAAAAAATATCTTCTTTATTTTGTATCGATGATTATTCTTATAGGTAGAGTATACAAATGGCACAGTGTTTGAGAATCAGATCCTGAACCCTTATGTACTGCTATTGGGAATGTAAACTGACACAGCCATTAGGGAAAACAGTATGGAGGTTCCCCAAAACATTAAAAACAGAACTTCCATATAAACCAGCAATCCCACTTCTGGATATTTATCCGAAGAAGTCCAAATCACTAATTCCAAAAGATATATACATTCCCATGTTCACTGCAGCATTATTTACAAATAGCCAAGATATATAAGTACACAGGT